ATATTGAGCTCCATCGCAACTCGAAAAAAGTTGAGAACCCCTGACCTTAGAGCTAGATTACGTAAGAAGTGCGTGTAGAAGACAAATTCAAAACATGGATTGGGAAGTTTCAGTATTCGAATTGGTATACTAATAAGATTGTCTTCTGATATTTTTTGATGTTTTCCAACTTGTTAATTTTCTTTCCAGCTCATATACTCCATGTAGAAAAATTTGAACATAATTGTTCCCTTCCCTGAGAGATGAGAAGTCGCGGGTCTTCTCTTGCCAGGATAAATGCCTTGTTCAAAAAAAAAAAAAAAAAAAATCAGAGATCCCCTATACACCCAACAGCGACAACCCGTGTGTTTCAACAATCGAAGAAAATGTGGTGCTGTCCCCTTAACTCCCTATGCGCGTTATTTTTGTTAAAACCGCAGTTGCCAAAGTGCTGTTACTGTCTGTATTTACAAATTTTACGGTGTAGGCAAGCAAGGGGGGGGGGGTAGAGAGAGAGAAAGAGAGAGAGAGAGAGAGAGAGAGAGAGAGAGAGAGGGAGAGAGAGAGGGAGGGAGGGAAGGAGGGTCTTTGAGCCTGAGGATTTAGGGTTGTATGCGTAATGCTGCCAGCCAGGGACTGCAAAAATAAGGGACCCTTTTCCCCGCCCTCTGACGCATTGGGCATACAGGGCTAGGCCTATAGTTTATAGATCCAATCATTACTCAATGGGTCGCCGGTCGCCTTTACTCTCTAGGATTTTACTTGGTTTGACCTTGAAGCCAAGGTCATTAAAAATGACTGCTTCCCTACGGATTCGAACACACCACTTTTGGATGAGCAGGCGAGCCTTAAGCCACTACACCACGGTGACTCCCTACAGGCTGCAGTTTAGAATATTATTTTGTGAGTTAATCGCAATTTAAGCAACGTTTTTAAACGACCAGGGTTAGTGAACACCGTTTGAGGAAGATTGTTATGGATACAAATATTTTATAGATGAAGAGCATAAACAGATGAAATGATCTGAACCGAGGGAAGTCTCCACGAACGCAAACTTTCTCAAATTTCCATGGACAGCCAATATTGTGTTGATCTTCAGCTCTCACCACAGAATCAGTGTGTCGCCAAATATCGATATTATTTGCTGCTGGACTACCCACTTGATCCCAGAAAGCGGTTACTATGTCTCCTGTATACCCGGCTCGCTAGCGTAGTTGGCTAAACCGGATTGCGCGGTGACCGGCTGACGAACTCATTGTGGTCCGGGTTCACGCCCGGGATAGACAGAAAAGCCACATTCCCTCCTAAATTTACGGTATTTACAATGGAATCAAGGTGGAAAGGTTGCGATATCCCTAATACCCAGCCTAAGGGTTAACAACTCATGGCTTCTGGATACTAAAAAAAAAAAATGTCTCTTGCATTGTTGCTAAACTCTGGACTTGCTGCTGAAGATGTGGACGGAGCGCTTATGGAAATATCCCAGGTACTCGGATGTCGGTTCTTGACTCAGACCTCTCATGTGGCTGCCAAAAGTATTGAAGCAGGTAGTGTTCACTAAAGAACTGACACTGATGTGTCGCGTAGTGTATTGATAATACTGAATAGTGGAGTCAACTTTTCACGAGTGACTATCTCCGTAAAATCACCTATAAATAAAATGGATCTTTCACAAATGAGTTAAAATATATAAATAAAATTGATTTTTCATAAATGAGTCAAAATGTATAAATAAATAAAAAGGATCTTTCACAAATGAGTCAATATGTAAAAATAAAATAGATCTTTCATAAATAAGTCAATATGTACAGAAAAAAAAATGCATGAGTTTGATTTTTTAAAGGCTGAAAATAGGTGATGTTACGGAAATAGTCACAGGTAGTGAAATCAAATATTTTCAGCTTTTAAAGATGGATCTCTCATAAATGAGTTAATATGCATATATTGAATAGATCTTTCACAACTGTAAGCATGTATAAACATACATATGTGTTACCTTTTTGTGGATAATGGCTCCATCTCATCTGTGAAAATAAACAAAACATACATAAGCCAAGGTATTTGGGGAAGCCCTGACAATAACGCTAACAATAAAGTCGAGGAAATCCATTGACTGACTGACTGACTTTCTACCCCACTAGGACATCACACAAGCGATAAACACCCGATGACACAAAGTGCCACCATGTGAATGAGGGTCACCCGTGGAGAGGTCCCAGAAACCGCGTTCAGACAATTGGCCATATTGATGGCCTGCCTATATTGCGGCCCCTGGCAAAAGCCAAAGTGGGGCTTCAAATAACAAAAAATTTTGTCCTTAAAAGGACGTCAGGAATTAAAAAAATAATCAGGAAATCCATTTTACTGCACTGGGTTTTATCTTACAGGGCTCGGTCTCTTTCCGCAGAACGTTTAGAGGCCTGCCAATAACGTCGTGCCGGGTGTATCTGTGTGTGTTTGTGCATATGTGTCTGTGTGTGTCAGTGTGTGTATGCCGGTTTGTGTGTGTGTGTCGCATGTGTGTGTCTGTGTGTGTGTATATCTGCGTGTGTGATTGGGTATGTGTGTGTATGTCTGTTTGTGTGTGTGTGTGTGTGTCTGTATTTGTTTCTATGGGTGTGTCTGTGTGTGTATATCTGTATGTTTGTATGTGTGTGGAATGTTCGTGTCTGTGTGGGCATGTAGGTATGTATGTGGGTAAATGGAGTGTGTTTATGTGTGTGTGAAGGTATGTGGGTGTGTTTAAGTGAGTGGGTGTGTTTAAGTGAGTGGGTGCGTGCGTGTGTGTGTGTGCATGCATTTTACCACCCATGCTTCTGTGCTTTTCCTTTTTTCCCCTCTCTTTTTTGATATTCATAATGTGCATATTATCATATGAATATAACATGCTTATTGATAAAATTCACCAGCAGTGTGAAAGACGGGTGTTTGGAAGGGCCGAATGTAAGACGGGTCCGCGTGCCCAATTTGTGACCCTTTGAAAATAAAGTTCGTTCGTTCGTTCGTTCTTCGATTGTACAAAAGTCCGAATTCCGAAGCTCCAAAGATGATCCCCAGAGATTTCTGCAAAAATTACACATGTGAACCCCCTCCTGACAAAAATCATACATCCTGTAGTCTTCTCCTTTATCAATCTCCTCTCATGGAAACGCGTGCGGGTTTTTGTGTGCGTACGCGCGCGCGTGTGTGTGTGTGTGTGCGTGTACTGACATAAGACCTACACAAAAGAATCAGAGAAAAGAGAACTTGAAGATGGCTTATTGAAACTGCTTAATCATACAAGAACAAAGACTTAATCATAGGCAGTGGTTATCGCATTGGAAGAGATGACCTGTGATCGTGCTGAAAGTGACACTCTCTTTTCTGATTCTCACTGGCATTGTTGAAAATAATAATGATGTTGAAATTTAAAAAAAAAACACAAGATGAAACCGATAAAAACAATTTCACATAGACAATAAAACTAATTAATATTGAATATAATTGAGATAATTAGTTTAATTTTCACAATTTCAGAGAACAATGAAGTGTCATTTTGGCATTATTTTTTTTAAAAGATATCTTAGAGGTCTCAGTTTTGTTCCTTTAAGAATGCATGGAAGGTTTTCTTTCTCTCAAACTATTGAACACGAGCCAGTATAATAATACAACAATTTAGATTTCATTTTTCATTTATTGCTGTCCTAAATTTTATACAATTAAAAAAAAAATAACAACTGCATGTAAATTGAAGGCCCAATTAATAGAAACAATAAAGTTGTCAACAGTTAAAAGTGCACGTTAATCAACAATTATAATCAACAAAAAAGTAAAATGAACTGTCGAAGACTTTGAGCACGTTAAAAACAAGCAAACAAACGAACAACAACACAACAACAACAACAAAAACAACAACAACAACAAACAAATACATCGAAGTGAAAGAAAGGAAACAGTTAGAACTCCAACGTGTAAGTGAGTGGAGAGGATTAGAAATTATAATATCTGGAAACACGCTGGGACGAAACTATTGCTCAACTAAACCACGTGACATCAGATCAGACGGATCGGACCTGTATCAGTCTACGACAAGATAGTGACTCACAGAGAGACCTGTCAGCGGACATCACAGCAGCAGAGATATAGAGGCCGACCATACAAACTATGGATAAATGCAATATTCAGGACCATTTTTTTCTTCTTCTTTTTATGCTGCTGCTTCTGAAGTAAACATCCATCTACTTCTTCTTCTTTTTCTTCATCTTCTTCTTCTTCGTCTTCTTATTTTTTTTTCCTTATCTTCCTCTTCTTCTTTTTCTTCTTCTTCGAGTCCTCCAGTAACCTCATAAAAGTGCAGTAGGCAGGTGAAGGATTAAAAAAAAAAAAGAACGGAGGGTTTGGGGCGTTGGAGATGTAAGATTCTTCCGTATGATCTTCCTAATAAGTTATGTAAGTTAATTTCCATTTATCTGTTAGAAGGCACAACGGTTTAAAAAGGTAAACTGTTCAATAGCTTAACCTGTCTCAGATCTATTTTCATTGTCACACTTGTACTAGTGAACAACAATATGATTTGTACACATATTTTAAAAACCGTATGTAACGTAATCTGTTTAAAAAATAAATAAATACATATATATGTCGATCAATGTTCACTTCACCATATTGACAGTAAGTCACTATATATATATATATATATATATATATATATATATATATATATATATATATATATATATATATATATATATATGGTTCTAGTAATGTTTTTTCGCCCCAAACACAGTGTGACCGAAAGTTAATTCATGCTTGGTGACCTTTCACATGCGCTAGTCTAAGTTACAGGGGTGTGATATTGCGTTGTGTTTGATCTTCTGAGCCGTGTGTATTGAGCGTCGTGTACTGTTGTGTCAGTGGCGAGCGAGTTTGCGTATATATATATATATATATATATATATATATATATATATATATATATATATATATATATATATATATATATATATATATATTTGCTTTGTATGACTTCAAGTAGGACATGGATTTATTTCAGCTGTGAGCGTTACGGAGCGACAAGGAGAGCAGCGATGCTTTTCTACAGCATGACAGCTTTTTAGGGTTCGGCAAAAATGTTGACAATTCTGAAACCACAGGACGTAGGCTGCATTCTCTCGTAGGAGGTAGGCTGAGGCTGTGGGCCAGGGGGGTTAGGTCAGTTCTAGATGGTGTGGGGTAGTTAAAAGCGGGCACTTCGTAAACTATAGAACACTGGATATGGCCGGTGATAGCGTTAAGGAGAAAACAACATGTATCCCCAGCAATTTAAACTAGCGAGTGTGAAAGTTCATAAAGAACAAAAGCATAAATGAAAGTCCAATAACGGTGTGTTTGGGGCAAGAAACGTAAATATATATATATAAACAATAGCAGAACAGTAATGAACTCACGGATTTGACTGTGGAGTGGCTTTTTCTGCTTGAGACAACGAAGACAGCAGGCACAGGCGGACCGGAACTCCTTACGGAATTTTCCTAAAAATAGATCAAAGAGAACAATCAAGTCATTAGGACATCTAAACTTTCAATGGGCGACAATGTAATTAAATAGATCAGGGTCTTGGTATTCTTTTGTCTGCGTTCTCCTTTAAAATGGCAACTGTTGGATTATGTTGTGATTTACTGTAATGTCATAGCCGTTCGGGTAAACCCAGTCGATTTCAGCAAACCTCTAGCTTGCCGTTTACGACATGCTTGTTAGAGGACAGTGGGATATTTTACCCCTTCCCCTTTTCAAACAAAAATAGGGCCTCAGAGCCCACAAGGGAAAGAATAATGTCTGGGCAAAGAAGAATACTGTAACACATTGGTTTTCAACCTTCCTATTTCAGCGACCCTTTAAAACAGGCCCTCCTGTTGCGGTGACTTCCTGCCATAAAATTATTTTTTTTTCTACTTCAAAACTACAGTGAATATGTGCTTCTTGATGGTCTGAGGCGACCCCTGTGAAAGCGTCATTCGACCCCAAAAAGGTCGCAACCCATAGGCTGAGAACCGCTGCTGTAACCCTATTGACTATAAAATTAGAGAATAGAGAATGCGTGTGTGACTGTGCTTTTGTGTCTGTCTGTCTGTCTGTCTGTCTGTCTGTCTGTCTGTCTGTCTGTCTGTCTGTCTGTCTGTCTGTCTGTCTGTCTGTCTGTCTGTCTGTCTGTCTGTCTGTCTGTCTGTCTGTCTGTCTGTCTGTCTGTCTGTCTGTCTGTCTGTCTGTCTGTCTGTCTGTCTGTATGTATGTATGTATGTATGTATGTGTGTTTTAGAAAGTGAGTGGGTTTCTGCGTGTGTGTGCACGCGCGTTTGCGCATGCATTTTACTTCCCATGCTTTTGTGCTTTTTGTTGATTTCATAATATGCATATTTTTACATGAACATGACTTGTTTTATAGATAAAATACAACTGCTGTGTGAAAGATGGATGTCTGGAAGGGCCGAATGTAAGATGCGCCTGCTTTGTCAATTTGTGGCACTTTAACATTTCTTTATTGTAGCATTTTAGTGTAGAGAACCCACACGGGGACTGAATGCTTCTGTAAGTCATGGTCCTGGATGATTTCTTCAGTCTGGCCGAGATGAAAGCAAATGAAGCTGGGAAATAAACACCGACTTGAAGTCCCCATCAAGTGCCTCACGGACCATGTATCATGTATTACTCCCACCCCCACCCACCCACCCCGTCCTACCACCTTTTCTATATTTTGCGATCTCTAAGATAATGTATCAGTTCAGGTGTTTAAGCAATTTCATGCCAAGACAAATATGCAAAGGAAAACTATCGTTGGTATTATTTCTCTCTCTCTCTCTCTCTCTCTCTCTCTCTCTCTCTCTCTTTCTCTTTCTCTCTCTCTCTCTCTCTCTCTCTCTCTCTCTCTCTCTCTCTCTCTCTCTCTCTCTTTCTACGAATCGATGCCGTTGTTAAATTTATCAGCTTTTCTTCTCTCATACCACAGCCAAATATGATGACTGTTTGCTATTTCTGATATTTGTATGAGTTTCCTTCGCATTTGAATTCTCATAGGTTTTTCTAGCTACTGGAAAGAACGACATTTTGTCATAATCTTGATATTACAAATAAAATATTTGCAATTAATGAGCGAAATTGTTCAAATTGCAGACAAGAATACATTCCGGTTCAAACAATCAGTTGATAGTTCTGTTGCATCCGGGTCATTAATTGTTTTCAGACGTATGGGTTTTCCCGTCAACTAACAAAAACGCGACACCGGATAACTTTGCGTTAAAAAAAAAAAAAATTATGTTAACAGTAGAATTTTGGGTCTAAATGTTTTGTTTTCGCATTTCTAAAAAAAAAAAAAAATCATATCTGTGGCGCCACTGAATTTATTTGGTGGGTTTACTAATTTGTAACAAACAAGCAAGTCGTTTCCCTGTGGGATGCAATTTTTCGTTTTTTGAAGCATCATTCTGCCTTTTGCCGGGAACCCTGAATATAGCCGTGCCATATATATGGCCTAAGATCTGAACGGGTTGTTTGGGACCTCTGCACGAGTGATCCTCATCCGCATGGTGGTACTTTCTGTCACCACCGGGTGTTTATCGCTTGTGTGATGCCTGGTGGGGGCACAACTACCTACCTACCATTTGTAACAAGCCTGGAGTGAAAGAAAACAAAAAGAAAAGTCAACTGAAAAAGGTTAACGAAATACAGCGAAATTAACACACTTATACTCAGATATTAAAAATGTGGACAGAAAGAAAATAAATAAACTCGAAAAATGAAATAAAATTTAGATTGCGTAATTAAAGCACATTAGGTGAAATGAAAGAAGAAATATGGTAATTACTTGAAAAGTGCAGGATGCCAAAGGCTAGGCTCACAAATACAAATTATCCGCATGTATTCAATTAATGTCATTCTGGATGTTGTTTCCGGTTGTTCAGTAAATGGACAAATATTTTAACAAGGCTAAGAAAGGGTAGTAGATGAACACTGCAGTCTGCTGGGATTTCTTCTTTGACTTCTGACACAGTTTTATAATTCATGCTGTTTACATTAATAACCATTTCAAATCTCAAGTCCTTGTATCAACTTCTTCAGTTTCTTATCTTTCATTACTGATGAAGGGAGATAATTAGTTCTCTCAAGCGAAGGTAATACTACAGAAATACATTTACCGTTGCATTTTTTTTTTTTAAAGAAATCACTGGCTATATTGTTTATAGTTAATAATTTTTTGGGCAGAGAAGACCATCACGGTTTCGAAATAGCAAGTGCAATCAACAAAAACTGCGTAACTTATAACTTATCCCTCTCTACAATCTTACTTTGCATTTAAACCTTGTTCACGAGAGTCCAGCAATATAACCTAGATTATATTTGTTATATATCTAGTCATTCTCTTGTGGGGTGAAATATTTCGTTATTAGATGCCCTACTTCGGCTCTTGCCAGGGGCCGTAATATAGCACGGCAAAAAATATGGCCTAATGGCTGAACGCGGTTTCTGGCACCTCTCTACGGGTGATCCTCATCCACATAGTGACACTTTGTGTCATCGGTGTTTATCGCGTGTGTGATGTCCTAGTGGGGTAGAAAGTCAGTCAGTCAGAGTGCAGCAATATAACCTTGATTATAGTTCTTATATATCTAGTCATACCCTTGTGGGATGTATTTTTTCTTTTTTTGAAGCCCACCCTACTCTGGTTCTTGCCAGGAGCCGCAATATAGCCCAACCATGTCTAATGGCTAAACGCGGTTTCTGGGACCTGTCCAGGTGATCCTCATTAACATAGTGGCACTTTGTGTCACCGGGTGTTTATCGCGTGCATGATGTCCTGGTGGGGTAAAAGAAGATAGATGCATAACCTTGACATTTGCATATATAACTATTAATTTTACAACCTGAGTTTTCTTTTCTGAAATTCGCTGTCATTGTTAAAGTGTTTTTTTTTTTTTTTTTTTTTTTTTTTTTTTTTAATCTAATTACAGTTACGTAGCTCCAATTTAGGGAATAAAAAAAAACGCACAGGAAGATATATTAACTTTAATTACACTGGCAAATAATAAGCAAAATAAATTGCCTTAAGCGTTCTTAAGAAACCAAATCAACGATTCTTAAATTTTAATAAATGTATTCTCTGTCCACACTGAAGGCTAGGTGCACTGATATGGGCCTCCATTGCTGTCTGGATGAAAATTACGTGGTAGTGCCTTATTTTCTTCCAAGGTGCAGCTCTCGTACTACTGTCCACAAGTCAAGAGAACTGGTTTTTAATCCACCCACCGTGGAAGTCAAACCCTGATAAGTCGAAGACTGCGAAACACACACACACACACACATATATATATATATATATATATATATATATATATATATATATATATATATATATATAGTTGCATATTCTTTACAGGACGTTGTAATACCAACCCCAGCATTTTTGGGTTGTTGCGGTTTTTCTAGGCAAATTTAGGTTTAGTAGTTTGCCACTGCTTTCTAGAGGGTCGGCTTCTCGATAAAATTGTCGACACCAACGCAAGGCGCAAGACCTGCAGCTAGGATCGAACCCGGCACAGACGCCGACACACACACACACACACACACACACACACACATGTATATATATATATATATATATATATATATATATATATATATATAAGCGGTCATGCATAGACCACATCTTTACTCTTAGAATAATTGTTGAAGATTCTACAGAATTCCAGTCGAAATTATTGATCAACTTTGTCGACTTTCAAAAAGCCTTCGACAGTATCCATCGTCCAACACTCTGGAAATTGCTTAACATCTATGGTTTCCCCATCAAATATATCAACATCATAAAATCTTTTTATAATGAAACACGATGCTGTGTAAGAACTGATTCCGGCAATTCTGACTGGTTCCCGGTGGAAACAGGAGTGAAGCAAGGCTGTGTCCTATCGCCGATGCTTTTTGGTATAGCAATCGACTGGGTCATGCGCAAGTGCATAAATAACGCAAATTTAGGCATTACATGGGTTGACAAAATTCTGGAAGACCTAGACTTCGCCGACGACATAGCACTCCTGAGTTCAGAACACACAGACGCCCAAGAAAAAATCAATCGACTCCAGAATTTCTCAGAACAAATTGGACTCCAAATTAACACCGCAAAAACAAAAATTCTAGACCTTACCAACAGTTCAGTTGATATCACGCTGAACAACAACAGCCTTGAAAAAGTCAACAGTTTCACTTATCTAGGGAGCAAGATGTCATCTACAGGAGATACCGCACCAGAAATATCATTTAGAATAGCACTGGCATCTAGTGCCTTCAATAAACTGTCTAACATCTGGAAATCAAAGACACTTAGCAAACACACAAAACTCAAGATCTTCAATTCTTGTGTGATTCCAGTACTAACCTATGGATGCGAGAGTTGGAAATCAACGAAAACTCTAGACACAAAATTAGACAGTTTTGAAAATAAATGCCTTAGAAGAATACTAAATTTCAAATGGTCAGATTTCCG